TACGTGCCCGGCCCCTCCATAACCCCCCTGGTACGTGCCCAGACCTCTCCAGAACCCCACCACTATGTGCCCAAGCCGTCTGTAAGACCTCCAGTACTTGCCCACTTCCTCCATAACCCCCTCACTGCGTGTCCAGGCCCTGCAGACCCCCTCTCACATCCCCCCCATGCCGGGGTCCCACGGGTGCGATATCTCTGGTATCTCTTCAGGTTCCTGGCCTCCAAGGAGCAGTTCCACGCCTACCTGCGGGCAGGGGGCCAGCCCAGCAGCGGGGACCAGGAGGAGAAGGAGGAGGAGGAGAAAGAGGAGGTTGAGGAGAAGAAGGAGGAAGCTGACAGCTGCCCCAGTGAGCCCCCTGCCAAACGGCTGCGGTCGGAGGACCTTGATCAGGATGGGGAAAGCCGGGAGGATGCTGGAGTGGAGAAGGAGCCCACGGAGCGAAAGCGGGCCCGGGGGCAGAACAAGAGCAGGCCATGTATGAAACCCAACCACTACGAGCAGAGCAGGCTGTGCCCCTCGGTGACTCAGGTAAGGAGCCGGGGCCCTGCTCCATGCTGTTCTGAGGGGTGGGAATTTGGGACCCCTGCTCATGGGGTCAGGAATTTGGGACCCTTGCACATCACTGCCCTTCTGTGGCGCATTTTAACCTCCTCCTTATTTTAAGGGATGTGCAGAGAAGTGTTACTTCGGTGCACGATGCCGCTTCCTTCACGACGTTGGCGAGTACATGGCCGTGAAGCCGGCCGACCTGGGGCACAGCTGTGTGCTCTTCGAAACCTTCGGCAAGTGCATTTACGGCGTCACTTGCCGCTTTGCCCAGGCCCACCTAGGGGATGGCTACCAGAACATCGTCAACACGGACCTGGCCAAGCAGTGGGAGGGCAAGTCACTGGTGAGGAACAGCCTCTCCAAGGACCTCCAGCACCAGCTGCGCAAGAGGAAGTTTAGCTTCAAGAAGGCTGACGAGTACCTGCGTGGTCTGGCCAAGCCCCACGGCGATGGTGGGAAGGGATGCAAAGCCACAGGGTGCTCTACAGAGAAGCAAGAGGTGTCCAACTGCACAGCACCCCAGGACGGCCTGGGAGATAGCCCCGAATGTCCTGTGCTGCCAGAGCAGGGAGAAGATCCCAGACCAGATGTCTTACAGAGTCCTGGCCCCACAGGTGGTGAGGATGCTTCCTCCATCAAAACAGTGGGTCCAGTGACAGATGAAGACGTTATAAAGCTGCGGTCCTGTGAGAAGAAGAAGGTGAGCAGTGAGAGTTTTGTCAAGGGCTGCCGTCTCTTGTGTACCTGTCAAGTGGTTGAGATTGTGCTTGGGAGGACAGAAGAGTCCTTTTAGCTGAGTGAGAGGCAGGCAGAGGACAGAGCTCCTGGGGACCACGATACTGTCAAGAGGGGAAGGATGCAGGAAGGTGAGCTTTTGGACCTGTGGTGTTGTCCTTGGAGGGATGAGAACCAAGCCACAGCCCCTGTGTACATGAAGGAGGGCAGGGGCTGAGCTGTCAGTGAGGCTGGGGCTGGTTGGTTTGTGCCACATGGTGCTCTCCTGGGATGAGAGCTTTGCCTCCTTCCTGTCCTCCTCATCACCTCCATCCTTGCATCCATTAGCCAGTCTGGCATCCCTCTGTATCTGTAACTGTGTTTTCTCTAAGCTGAGCAGTGAAAACAAGTTGAGTGGTTCAAGTTTCTGGTTCTTTTATCAAAATGATACATTCTCAGGGAATATTTGAAGTTCTCAAACAAAACTGGTTATTTCCTGGGTTTCCCACTGAGTTTTACCCAAGGCAAGTGGCAGAATTGCTGTTTAACCATCGCTGGTTCAGCTCTGCTAATGTGCTTGTTCATCTTTTTTTTTCCAGTTGGAAATCCAAGGCAAGCTCTACTTGGCTCCGCTGACCACGGTAGGTAGACATGTCTCTCCTTCTGTCAAAACTTGCTGCTGCCACATTTGGAATAGGGCAGATCTCTTGACGAACCATCTCTTTGCTCTCTGTCAGTGTGGTAACCTCCCTTTCCGAAGGATATGCAAGCGCTTCGGGGCAGACGTCACCTGTGGCGAGATGGCAGTGTGCACAAACTTGCTTCAGGGCCAGTCCTCCGAGTGGGCTCTCCTCAAACGGCATCACACTGAAGATGTTTTTGGGGTGCAGGTGAGTGGGATCATCTTGATAACCACACAAATGATAACTCACTTCTGAGAGGGAAAGCTGCTGCTTGAACTCATGCAAACTGTCCCCCTTTGGTAGCTGGAGGGAGCGTTTCCAGACACGATGACCAAATGTGCAGAGCTCCTGAACCAGACAATTGAAGTGGACTTTGTCGACATCAATGTTGGGTGTCCCATTGATCTGGTGTACAAGAAGGTGAGATGTTTTGCAGCACGTGTTGCTTCCTTCACCAGGTGCTTGTCTTTTGGCTCATCCCCCACTACCTGATATGCCCCTGCCAGTCTGATCCAGAACTCCCAGTTCGTTTATGGGCACTAGACTTCAGCGAGGAGGCACATAAACTGTTCAAAGAGCAAGGACTGCTTGGTTGTCTCTGCCTGGCAGCTGGCAGAAGTTGAGAGGAAAAAGGGCTGTGTGGGTTTTTCTGGTTGAAGAGTCCCCTTTCTTTAAGTCTTGAGATGCTCCAGGTCTTACCTGCATCCCCTGGGTTGCTGTTGAGCAGCTCCAGGAAGGCTCTTCACTACGCAAGGAGGCAGAAAGTCTTGACTGTGTCACTTTTTGTCCCCAGGGAGGAGGCTGTGCCTTAATGACTCGATCCAACAAGTTTGAACAGATCATCCGAGGGATGAATTCGGTGAGTCAGAGCACCTGCAGCAGCAGGAGATGAGCTGATAGAGCCGACTTCTGCCTCTGTCTGGCCTCACTCTCCAATTTCTGCAGGTGCTGGACGTCCCACTGACTGTGAAGATACGGACTGGGGTGCAAGAAAAGATTAACCTGGCTCATAAAATAATCCCCAAGATCCGGGAATGGGGAGCATCCATGGTCACGGTACAGGGATACTTGCTGTGGCTTGAGATTGTTGGCTGGTGTCTGGGAAACTCTGCTTGCATGTCAGCATAGAGCACGATGTGGGGGTGACCTTACCCTTCCCCATAGCTGAGCAGCATTTTCAAACACTTTTGACCAGCTGCGTACCATCTTTTAGTGTTTTCTGCTAATAGACAAATTCAGATGCAGAGAGCATTTTCCCACGTGCTCCTCAGCCTTGTATCCATTACAGAGGGACATGGTTCCTGCAGTGCTCTAGAACAGAGAGTTCAGCCAAATACTCCTTGTTACAGCAGGGCTGGGGAGATGATGGGACCATCTCCTTTGCATGGAGATCAGTAGTTCCTGCCCACAGTGAATATTCCACTTCACTGGGAACAGCCACTTGTTGCTCCAGCTTGCAAATAGCCAAAATATCACTCAGAAAGTATCCAGCCCTTTCTCAGCTCTGCTGACTGCTTCCACAGCCTGGTCTGTTGACATCTCAAGGGATCTTTTGCCCCAGCCTGCTGTGGAAACACATTTTTCCATTGCTTCTGTTCTGCTTTGCCTCCTCCGGAGTGTTTGCTGAGCTCTCACTATGCCTTTCATCCCCAGCTTCATGGCCGATCCAGGGAACAGCGCTACACGAGGGGTGCTGACTGGGACTACATAGCAGAATGTGCCAAGATAGCAAGCCCCATGCCTCTTTTTGGTAGGTATTTCTGTTTTGTCACTTGAACTTAACACGTACTTGATTTGAAATACCTTTTAAAAAAAGAAAAAAACAGGCTCCCAAGGCCATTTAGCCTGGGGGCAGGGTTGGAGTATCCCTATTGCTGCAGTGAGTGACACAGTGAGTCACCAGCTCTTGTGCAGCCTAGGTCTGCCCCTGGGCTTGGGGCCAGGCGTGATAAGCACAGAGGACAGGTGGGACACAAAACACTTGGGTTTTAACAGATGCTTTCTCCCTTGGGCACTGCAGCATGGACAGTCCCAGCCAAACTTTCAGGGTAGGAGTTGGGAGGGAAAG